GTGGGCAAGCCTTGTCTCCACCCAGTCTGGCGGACTCAGGGTTGGAGACAGCCATGGTCACCTGGCTGGAGCTCCTGGAGGAGGAGGATGATGAGGAGGAGGACACCGGCAGTGTTGTTGCCCTCAGCTTCATCTGACGCCAGGGAGGGATCCATCAGGTGAGTACTGTCAGGTTGGCACACACACAGGACGGGGGAGGCGAGAGCACAGAGGATGGGGCGCAATCGTTGCTCGGCATGCAGCGGCAGTGTGCACCACATGATCTCAGGAACCGGCCCCAGAGCACACACGGGCTCCTGCTCACAGGCTGTGGGGAGGCCCTACACACATCCAACCCATGGAAGGGACTCCCCTCACCCGCTGGCCTCCACTGGAAGCAGGCTGGGCACAAGGGCACACGCGTGACCCCACACAGACCAAGGAGTGCCGCACATAGTACATGGCCATGCCTGCATACACGAGGCACCATCCGCTCCCACGGACAGTGCTGCCAGGTGCAGGTGTGTGTGTGGGCCCTCTCCCACCCTTGGGATCCCACTATAGGCAGACATTTCCCTGGCCTGCTTGTCCATGGGATGGGGGAAGCGGCCAGCATGGTCCCCTGGGCACTTTGGGGCTCCTGTGAGGCAGGGCCTGCTGTGCAGGTCATGCATGGCCTTGCTCACAGACCTTGCTCACTGAGGAGAACACGGCATCAAAAATAATGTCTGCTTGGATGACTGAGTGCCTCTTCCTCTTTTCCTTCACAGCCGGACCAGCTGTCAATGAGGGGACTGGGGGAGCTGCAAGCACTGGAAGGTCCATGAAGAACTCATGAGACAGCATGTTGCAGTCCTGTGTGACATGCAGCAAACACTGGCCCAAAAGGTCCGTGATGACGCCGAGTGGCGCAATCACATTTGGGACCAGCTTGTGTGGCAGGGAGAAAATCCCAACCCCAGGGGAGCTGAAAATGCATGAGGGTCCAGGAGGGCCTCATGAGGCAGCATGTGGGTGTCCTGCGTGACATGCAGCAGACCCTGGTGCAGGTCTGGGAGCTGCATGTGGGACCACTTCGTGTGGAAGGGGACAACATGTGCCATCATGTGGGAAATGATGGCACACCCAGCTGCTGTCCCTGCTCCTGCCTCCCACCCTCCCTGCTATGCCTATTGCCCTTCTCCCTGCCCCCCAAGCAATACCTCTGCTCCCTTCCCAAGTGATGCCTATGCTCCCTCCCCATGACCCCGCTGCCATCCCCGACCCCGCTGCAGCCCCCCCTCCTGTTCACCCTCCTGTTGTCCCAGGCCCCACCCAACCTCTAGTTTGCTGAGGTCCCCAGACCTGAGGCGGCACTTCCAGCTGTACCAAGCTCCACTCACAGAACTGATCCCCTCTCCTCCCTCCCTCATCCAGGTTCTCTGCCCCATTTACTTGTATTATAAAAAAAATATACACGCTTTTTGTTCAATTCAAAACTCGTGTGTTTATTAATTGTACAGAGAAGAGGGGAAGGGAGGGATTGTGGTGGGAAAGGTATTGGGGGGGCAAGGCACAAGCCACCAGTGCGGAGGCCATGGGGAGAGTTTCTGGTCTCCTTCAGAGAACCTCTCCCTCAGGGCCTCCCGGATGCGCACCCTGGCCTGATGGGCCAGGCGGATGGCAGCTGTCCAGGGCTGTTCAAACATCCTCCCCTCATCACCAGCCTCTGTTCCTCACCCTGGGAGGAAGGCCTCTCCTTTGCTCGCCATCAGGTTGTGGAGCACACGACATGCAGAGACCACCTCAGGGATGTTGCATTCCTCAACATCAAGGTGTGTCAACAAGCACCTGAACCGAGCCTTGAGGTGTTTGAAGGCGCATTCCACCTTCATGCAGGCCCGGTTCCGGTGCACGTTAAATTGTTCCTTGCTCGGGGCCAGTGTTGGGCTTCATGAGCCACAGCATCAGTGGGTAAGCCACATCACCTACAATGCAAATTGGCATCTGTATGTTCCCCACATGAAAGTCCCACAGGGGAAGAATGTCCCAGCTTGCAGAAGAGGCTCGAGTTTCTGAATATGTGGGCATCGTGTGCCCAGCCCAACCACCGACAAATATGTCTGAAAGCTATCCCCGGTAGTCGACCAGGGCCTGCAGCACCATGGAGAAGTAGCCTTTTCTGTTTATACATTGGACAACTCGATGCTGTGGTGTGCGTATCGGGATGTGGGTCCCATCGAACGCTTCTCCACAAGGTGGGAAGCCGAGAGCAGCAAATCAGGACATTATTGGGTCCAGGTCTCCGAGGCGAATGACCCTCTGCAGCAGGTTGGAGTTGATGGCCCGACCACCTACAGCAGGAGACATCGAAACACACAAAACATAGAATGAAAGGGGGTGCCAGAGCCCTTGGGAGGTGCCCGTTCCCCTCCTCCCCTCCAATTACCCCAGGAACTACCCCCTATGAAGCCCCTCCCCCAGCAGCAGGGATGTGTGAGTGCGGGACAGCACAACCCATCTCGGGGACGGGTCTAGTTGATGGCCCGACCACCTACAGCAGGAGACATCGAAACACACAAAACATAGAATGAAAGGGGGTGCCAGAGCCCTTGGGAGGTGCCCGTTCCCCTCCTCCCCTCCAATTACCCCAGGAACTACCCCCTATGAAGCCCCTCCCCCAGCAGCAGGGATGTGTGAGTGCGGGACAGCACAACCCATCTCGGGGACGGGTCTTGCCCCCACCCCCACTTCACCCCCCATTCCACTTTCCCCGAGAGTTGTCCTTTTCAAGGACTCCCTCCCCCCACCCTCCCGCAGGGTGTGCACTCCAAGGGTGCCTTACCTCCATGAGGAGGAACCCAATGGTGGACTTACCTACACTGAACTGGTGTCCCACTGAGCGGTAGCTATCGGGGGTGGTGAGCTTCCATACAGCAATTGCGACCCTCTTCTCCAAGGGGATGGCAGGCCGCAGGTGAGTGTTGCATCTCCAGAGGGCAAGGGCGAGCCAGGCACACAGCTCCAAGAATGTGGCCTTCCACATGCGGAAGTTGTTGAGCCACTGCTGGTCATCCCACGGCTCCATGACAAAGTGGTCCCACCAGTTGGAACTGGTGTCCAGCCTCCATCATTTCTCAACCATGGGCTGGGGGGCAAGGGTATTGCTCCTGCATCCAGGCAGAGAGACTCAGAGATGAGCTCGGAGTCGAGCTGGGGCAGGACCGTCATAATGGTCTGCTGAAACTGCTGCAGAAGCTGCAGCGTGACTGTGTGTGGCCATCAGATGGCCGGGGCAGCTCCGGCTCCATGGCAAAAAGAGAAAAGAAATGCTGTGGCATCCAATAAAGCTGGTCAACCAGCGCACACACTGCAAAGCTTTGCTGTCCCTTGAAGAGGTAAGCAAGCAAGGAGCAGAAGCTGAGAAAGGCCGGCCAGGGGTGTCCCTTTAAACACGCGTCTCAGATAGCCTTAAGCAACAGCACCCGGAAGTAACTGCTGACCTAATGCCCTGCCAGAAGTGGTTCTGGGTGGCCTTTTATGTGAGAGAGCATCCAATGAATGGCTGGATCCTGCCATGTGGCATAGTGGGGAGACGTCCCCTATTAGTTCGGTAAGAATTAGTCAATGTAGGTTTATAATGTAGAATGTAGGTTTCTAAAAAGCAGATCACTTTTTCAGTGCACTTTTGCAGTGTGCACGCTCTCTTTCAAAAGAAGATTTTTCAGAAGAGCTCTTCCAAAAAAGCTTCTTTCGAAAGAAGCTTGCAGTCTAGATATACCCTCATTCTCCTAAGTCTGTCCCAACTCCTTATACAGCTATCCCTCTTATCATAAAGTCACATTCCGTATTTTGGTGGTTAGAATACACTGCCAAGTCACCTGTTCTCCAGCTGTCCCCATTACACAGCCCCCCGTAAGCGTATGCATCTTTGATCACTTCTTCCCCAGTGTATATAGCATTCTCTCCCCTCTTCCTCCAAGTCTGGTTCTGGGATTCCAGTCTGCACTTGCTCACAAGTCCCCTGCTACACATCTACTGAGGCTATGTCTACACTACAGAGTTTTTTTGGAAAAACAGCGGTTTTTCCGAAAAAACTTGTGGAGAGTCCATAGCTCAAGCGCATTTTTGCTTACTTTTGAGAGAGTGTCCATGCAGTCTGGATGCTCTTTTTTGCACAAGCGCATCACTTTTTTGATGCGTTTTTGCAGTGTGGATGTGCTCTTGCGTAAGAAGTTTTTGCAGAAGATCATTTCCAATTAAAGCTTCTTGCACAAGAAGCCTGCAGTCTAGATGGAGCCTGAGTTTCCTCTATTCCACCCAACTGATTCATGATTCTCCAGCTTGTATTATCACTAGTCTCTTCTCTTTATATATTGCCTCTGTCTTTCCTGAACAAAAATAAATTAATTCTGTTGGATTATTCTGTTGGATTATTTCCTGTGCCTGTGGTGCCGCTTTCTTTGATAGCTTGTGTTGCATTTCTTTCTGGCTCCTTCTGTGTCTGTCGGTTTCCCTAACTGTACATCTCTAAAGTTCTCATTATCATTCATTATGCACAGTCATCCATTCATAATTCGTTATGGTTTGCTGTTGGCCCCTCCTCCCGGTCAGCTGTAACCAAATGTCTTTTTTTGGTGGCAGTTTCCTTTCTAATCATAATTAGCTCTTTAAAAGACTGGCACTATGTGTTCATCATAGTAAGAATGAGAGGCATGAAAGGGGATATTTATTACTGGAGGGTGGGTTTTGTTAGCAGTGGATGTGCTGGGGCATGCAGCAGATACTCAGTGAATTACTAAGAAACTGAAGGTCTTTATACTGGGATACATTTTTACTTTTGAATGTCTTTATACTGGGATACATTTTTACTTTATACTGGGATATACATTTTAATCTATATCGTCCCTAAATTAAAAGATTTAAAATAATTCAAGTCTTGCTATAATTTATGCATTTGATTAACAGAATTATTGTAAATTGAAATTCATGCATTCAGGTGATGCATTCACACGCATTCCTTTCCATTCATATTCTTCCAGGTGACTTGGATTATTACTGGCTGGATCCTGCCACGTGGCACAGTAGGGAGACTTCCCCTATTAGTTCGGTAAGAATTAGGCAACATAGGTTTATATGTATGAAATAAACTCTTAAAAGTTTAGTTAATTATTTCATTTGCACCCTGGTGGTGCCTTCTAATCTTTAGAAGATTATGAATTTCAGTTGTGTAAGATGTTCACTGGTATTCAAACTTAGTTTTTAAAATGTTAAAAAATGTTTGTATGAAAATCAAAATTAGTAAGAGATGTTCTATCTGAATCTATATAAGAAAGATAACCTGAGTTTTTAATCTGAAATAGAGATTTTTTTTGCAAATGAGGGATTGTATTTCAATGCATTAGGCTATCAAACACGAATAATTTTGGTAGAATTTTTGCCATTGACTCCCATGGAAACAGGGTCACCAAACTTTTACTAGATAATGAACATATAAGAAACATCTGAATAACATAAATATTATTCTACAGAACTAATACTTTATAAAAAGGAATTTTCAAGATGGAATACAAAGTAATGCATTACATACTGATACACACCTAATAGTTTAAATACATTAATTCAAATCTGTTTTGTAACTGTGTTTGTACCTTTTAGGTATTGAGATAATTTTATGATGAGGAAGAGTAATTGTAAATATTTAATGAAGCAGGAATCAAGAACCATAGCATTATAACAGAGAAAAAATTGTCATTGACAGTATGCAGAAGGATTCACTGGATTTATCTGTACTGTGACATAATAATTTAGCAAATTCTGTTTGTGTGTGTAAAACAGGAAGAGATTGCCTCTTTTTTGCTTCCATTTTTTTGCTTCCACTGATATTTTCTAATAGCATCCCGTGACGTGGCAGCCATCTAAAGAGGGAGATCGCTTAATAGGACGAGTTATTCTTAACAAGAGAACTACCATGCCAAAAGAGTCAGGTGCATTACTGGGGCTAAAAGTAAGTACTACAAAGGTTATGCTGTAAATGAATGAAACTTTCATTAGTCTAATAGACAACAGTTTAGTACATATAGCATATCATAGATATCCAGAAAATTTCCAATTACATTATCATTTGAGACCAATTTTACATACTTATGTTAAAAAAGGGTGGAATATGCCTTTCTTCCTGGTGTATTGGACAGCATGATAAGTTGATGTAAACTGACCTCTACTGTTGTATATGTAATAGGAATCCCAGGATGGAACAGCCTTTTACCATGTAACATAGAGTAGCCACAGCTGATTGTGTCCATTTAATGTTATGAATAATACCTAACGTATATATATATTACCCAGATATAAGCTCCCATTCTCTGTTTCTTTGTAAAACACAAAAAACTAAAATACAGAAGAAATACAGAAGAAACACAATAATAGATAGAAAAGAAATAATTTAGAATTTAAATTCAGAAATGCCTCTTTAGACCACCATGACATAGAACACAGTCTCTTCATCTGCCTGTTCTCCAAGCATATAACGTGCATCCTAGTGTATTCATGGATTTATAACAATTCCTGATTTTGCTGTATGCATCTTAATCATATAGTCTTCATCTCATGCTCCACATTCATCAGTGTCATCTGGACACTAATATTTGCAAAATCAGTGTTTAAATCTGCACAACCAGTAAAAAAACACAAATTGCATGGTGTATAAAACTGCTTGTGAATAGTTTTAGACAAGTTCTTTTAAATAGATAATTGCCTTAAAAACCCAGTAGTGCTTCTGTTTAATCTAAAACTCCTAATATTTTTGCATCTGTAGAAAATCAGTGAGTTTTGACTTTTTGCAAGTTTTACATTGAGCCCCAAAATTAAGATGTTATTTTAGAACAAAAAAAATATAAAGCTGATTTTTACTAACTGGAAACTGGGATTGTTGGGGGTTTTTGTTCGTTTGTTTTTGTTTTTTTAAATAGGGGGGAGGGGCAGCGAAGGAGGAAACCTCTTTTGAGGGAACCTCTACTTTACCTTTCTTGAATCTTGTCTTGATTTGTTATGTGTAGAGCCCAACCAAATTCATGGTCCATTTTGGTCAATTTCAGGGTTGTAGAATTTTGGAAATCATGCCATTATTTCAAATATATAAATCTGAAAATTCATGGTGTTGTAATTATAGGGGTCCTAACCCAAAATTTTGAGTTGAGCATGGGGAGTTGCAAGGGGCTGTTGCAGGCACACAGCCAAAAGCTGCCACTCTCTGGAAGCCCAGCTGCAAAGACAGCAAAGAAGTAAGGGCGCATCTACCTACAGAGCTAAAGCCGAAATAAGCTATGCAACTTGAGCTACGTCAACTGCGTAGCTTAAGTTGAGATAGCTTATTTCAGCTTTTGTCGCTGTCTACAAAGCAGGAAGTCCGAGAAAGAACACTCTTCCTGGGTATGTCTACACTACCCTCCTAGTTCAAACTAGGAGGGTAATGTAGGCATACCGCACTTGCAAATGAAGCCCGGGATTTGAATTTCCCGGGCTTCATTTGCATAAGCGGGGCTCCACCATTTTTAAATCCCCGCTTGTTCGAACCCTGTGCCGCGCGGCTACACGCGGCACGAACTAGGTAGTTCAAACTAGGCTTCCTAGTTCGAACTACCGTTACTCCTCAGACGGTCTCCAGCAGACCAGGGGCACCGGAGCAGCTTACGAACAGGGCTTTCTCGCCCCGGAGCTCGCAGGTAGCAATCCGCCACCTCGACCTCCGGGGCGAGAAAGCCCCGTTCGTAAGTGCGGATCCGACGTAAGTCGGATCTGCGTAAGTCGGGGACTGCCTGTATTTGAAGTGCTATGTTCTACATTCTGAATTAAACTAATTTCTGGTGCTTAACAGAGCAAAGTACTGTAAAAGGGAATTGCAAGCTCTCTTCACTCTTCATGTGGCACTGTTTGGCTTTTTTTATACATCGCTCTTTTTTGGGTAAAGTCCATATAAAATGCCACTGATGTTAATAATACCATTAATTATGAATGACTGAGGCCCTAGTTATAAATATAATATCAATGTGATTAAATAAACCACACAAGTTAAACTATTTACATTATATTCCTTAATATGTTTCTAGTTTGCGGTTTGAAAACTCTTGAATTTATGATTATCTAGGTTGTTGGAGGAAAAATGACAGATTTAGGACGACTTGGTGCCTTCATTACCAAAGTAAAGAAGGGTAGTCTAGCTGATGTGGTGGGCCACCTAAGAGCAGGTAATTAAATCAACTGTACTCTGACAAGTTTATGTTATTATTTTGACTTTATAAAATGAAATTGTTAATGTTATGTGGATAGTTTTCATGTATAAATATTGTAAACGGTGAACACTGTTTAATGTCCATCTAGTCAGTTTTAATTATTATTGCTTAGCTGCTGAAGGCTCAATATTGAGTATTGCCAGTAACAGAAATAAAATAGAGAGTAAATGGTTTTAGAAAAAACAAGTGAAAATATTTTCTCAGATAAAATCTTTGTACAATAAAACTCCAATTGTCCGACATCCACTGGTCCGACACTCCCAATAGTCCAGCACCAACTGGACCCCGGAAGTGGTCCAGCCAGCTGGACAATTGGAACTGCTGTGAGCCCCATGGGCACTCGCGGCTGGTAAAGGGAAGGGGAGAAGAGGGGAAGAGGATTATACCCCTGTGACGAGTCTGCTGGGACCCACACTGCGTCTGGCTGGGGTGTGGGGATGGGCAGAGAACGGCGTGGCGAGGGGCAAACTCTCCGCCGTTTTGCATGAAGGCGGGGGGAGGCCCCGGCCGCC